GTTTAAAGTTTTAAGTGCTTCTGTTTTCTTGAAGTTCTTGTCAAGGGCACACAGTGAATCTGCTTGGACCCCTGAGAATCTTGTAAAATGTACTTTTGTCAGTGTTATCGAGGAACCACCAAGCATTTAATCATAATAGTACTACTTAATTCAATTTGTAGACGTAAAGGAATTGTCTTTATATTTGTTTACAGTTAGGAAGCCAGTGTGGGTGAAATGAGGTCAGGAAATGGGCCTCTCAGAGGAAACACTGATGAAATATCAGCTGTTCGCTGGTGATTAATAAGCTCTGTGTTTCTGGGATATGTGAGTAGGAGACTTTTAGACCTTCATCTCTTCACTGTATTCTCTTCCTGCCTTTTTCCTTGTTCTTTAAATCTTTTGTTCCTTTTACACCCTTTCTACGTTCCTTGCTCCCGCCCTCTCTCCCTTCCCTATCTGTCTATTTTGGACCCTGAGAGGGGCTGGGTGACTCTCAGTGGGTCAAACTCCGTCTCCCTGCTTCTTTTTATCAGTCTCTCCCTTTCTGTCCCACTCTCTCCAGCACTGAAATCTCAGAAACCTCGCCCTGGTAACTTTTTGGGACACAAAACTTAGTTTCTTGGATTTTATCCCAGTTTCACGCCACTTGTGGGAAAGTTTTTGTGTATTTTTAGACCCGCTGTGATCTGGCTTAAGACAATTTAATGTGTTTTTCTCATAATCGACTCGAGTTAAAAACAGGACTTGACAAGGAGTTACATACTCGTTGGTACATACTATGGTAACACAGCATTCCCAGAGCCCTTGAAGGACTGAAGATTATCAGTGAACATCCAGCAACTTCAAAGACTAAGGTACTTTAAAAATCCATTTCACTCTTTTAAAACTTATAAAAGTAATAAATTCAAAACAGAAATGTGAGAGTGTTTGCAATCCACCCAGTTACTCTTTTTTTAATTGTCATTTAAAATAGATATTAGGTAACTAACAGCCAGTGAGATGGCGCTATTAATAACATGGAGAACCATCTGGGCCATATCTCTTATGTCACCGTTTCCTCTTGAGGTTTTGAAGGGACCACAAATGGTCTTTTAAACTGAGGGTCAGTTTAAAAATGTGTTCTTGACATTGTGATTAGACATTAGTGGCTGTACAAAAGTCTTGAGACAACCCTCATTCCTTTTACTTTTGAATTATAGGAAAATGGGAAATATGTGCACACATGAGGTGTAGACTATAAGACTCCCATTTAGATGCTATTCATTGGTGTTGGTGATCGTGCCACAGCTGGATAGAAAAACAAACAATGAACACTATCAGTCATGGATTCTTCACCTTCACCAAACAAATTTCAGCCACAAATCATAACAGAGCCTCCATCATGTTTTACTGATGGCTGGGTTTACCACTCCTTGGGACCTGTTACCACTGATTTTCACTCTAAATCTTGTGTAATTTCGTGTCCCTCAGCCTTTCCTCCCTATTTCACTTCCTTAAGAATTGTTTCTTGATAGTCTCCCTTCCATTGAAACCATTTCTGGTCAGGATTCAGTGAACAGTAGATGGATCAACTGAAGCCCCAGATTAATCTTTCAGGTCCTGTTTTGGGTCTTTGCTGGATATTTTCCTATTTCTTAAGGGCACGACTGTTTCTCTGTTGTAGACAGATTTTACTCGTGATAGTTTTTCTTCTCCTCCACCTCTCCAGTTTCCTCAAATCTATTAAGGACAAACTGCACACCATGCAGAGATATAGCAAGTTTTCAGGTAATAGCTCTTTAGGAGTCCCCTTGTTGGTACAAAAATACTCTCATATCTCTGTCAGACTGTGCTATCTTTGTCATTTTCTGTAGTTTCAATGAAAAAATGCAAACAAACTATGCATTTTTCTAACAGGCTGCTACTAACAAAGTGCCTAAAGAGACACATTGAAATTGGTCCTTTGCTAAGTTGTCTGTTATAGGTCGACACAACACTGCTTCATCCTTTTACTGAGGTGTTTTTTGATCCTTGAATGATTCATTGTCAGTGTTAAGTGGCTCAACAAACATAAGAAACTTTGTGAAAACGGTCTGGTACAAGGACTAGACTGAAAAAGCATGAAAAAACAGAAAAACTTTGAAAGACCTTCTGAAAGCCTTGAGACCTACTGCTCAAGACTGCAAGTAAAATTACATTAAATTTCTCCTTCATGACTTAATTCTATATGATGACCAGTTGCTCTCTTTCTGCATGGATGTAATGATATTGAGCACTTACCTGTAATTCCAAAACCAACGTGTCTAAAAACTATAAAGTGTCCTAAATGTACTATGCTTTGAAATTAGCAGTTGGCAAAGATAGAAAACCACAACCACTGTCAGCACAAAATCTAGTGAAAAAGCAACTTTTTTGCTCAGTACTGTTGTTAGGACCATAATTCATCCTATATGCCCCCATTAAACCTGTACCTACCAACCCTTTTCACTTGTGACCCCCTTAAAATGGAGCTACGTGTGTTATTTATTAAAGCCTGCAGAGTTCAAAGAATTGAAATTTCCAAAAGAAAGGAAAAAGATATATTCCCCTTTCTTTGTTTCAAAGCATCTTGGGGTCTCTCTAACATGTCTTCGTATCCATAGGGGGTCCTGAACCCCAGGTGGGGAACAACTGCATTTGAAAACACTCGCTCTGATGTTGAAACAATTGCCTTTCTTCTTTCTCACGCTTTACTCTTTTTCCTGTTCCTCTGTGCCATCAAATAACTTGTAAAATAGAACAAAGAGAAAAGGCTCACATATAAATAACTCTTCATTTATCGTGCCCAGAAACTGAACCACATGTGCAAATATATTTTCACCTCCATGCAGTAAATCCATGATAATTTTAGGAATTTATCATCCTGATAACAAGCATTTATCAGTGGTTTGGGTTGTATTTGGTGCTGTATTTCAAAGTAACGAGGACAATAATGCAAAAAAACCCCTGCATTCACACTCATGAACATCTGGGCTTTCCTGATGAGACAAACCGCCATTTGACGGTGAAATAAAAGCAGCTCAAAACTGGAAACATTACTAGCAAGTTTACTTTGTAAGCAGTACTGTGCTGACTCCTCCTTACAGCATTCGGTGACTCAGAGTTTTGACCAAGCTGTTGTTGTCTTTCATTTGCCCTTTCATTTGCCAGTTAGTTGTCGGCACCCACATTGTTCTAATTCTGCTCATTCCTTTGTCGTGGAGGAGGAGGCAGCACCAGTCGGCCATTGTGTGTGTGAGTGCAGATCAAGCTCAGAGCTCGAGGGTAACAGCAGGTGGGCTGGGTCGTCTGTATTTGAAGGTGGATATATACACGCAGAGTGCATTACATTTCTTTCTCTTTGGTGCATTTCTCAGATCAGAAATGTTCAAAAACAGTTTGTTGTTGTGAAAGCAGTTTCTTTATCTTCTGAATGCTTTTCCCAGTTGGTGTAAATTATTATTCATGTCTGCTGTATTAATTGGGTACGGTAACCAAGATGTATTATGCATGCTGGCAGAACTGTGCAGTCGCCTCAGCTATTTTCATCTTCTTTCTTTAGCTGCCACAGCTGACCATCTTCCTCCACCTCACCCTATCCCTAGCATCCTCCTCTGCTACACCAGCCTTCTGTATGTTCTCCACATTCATGAATCTTCTCCGTGGTCTTCCTTTTTTCCCATTTTTGCCTGGCAGCTCCATGTTCAAAATCCATTCCCCTTAAGTTGCAGTCCGTTTGGCCTCTCAGGGCCACCGTATGTTCTGCTCAGTGACCCGGGTGTGGGCCAAGGTTTGTCCGTCCTATGGATGGTCTCGTATTTGAATCTAGAATAATTTGGTATATAGAGGAGGTCATTGTCATCTCAATAACTGCAAAGTGACCAGGTCCTTTGGCTGGAAAACAAACCCAAAATATCACCTTTCCACCACCGTGCTGGACAGTTGGTGTGGCGTGTTTGTGCTGGAACGCTCTGTTTGGTGTTCATCAATGTTCAGCGATGTACATTTTAGTCAAACATGTCCGCTTTAGTGTCATCTGTCAAAAGACAGATTGTTACAGAAGTTCAGAAGTGGTTTCTTAGGATGTAGCTTCACAAACCTAAGCCATGCTGCCATGTTCCAAAACATGTTCTCCTGGGAATAACTGACCCTCGTAGAGTCTGAGATGTAGCTTTTCAGCTTTTTGTCCATTTCATTGAAGATGAGAAACTGTCTTTGACTTGTGAATGATCTCTCTTACAGTAAAACGATGGAGATCAAATTGCCTGGAAATTGTTTTATAACCCTTCCCACATTGATCGGCCGCAACAACTAATTCTTTACGACCAGTGCTGTTGTCTTTTCTCCCTGGCCTCATGTTAACACACACCTAAAGGCTCCAGACCATCAAACTACCAAAACATCTGCTTTTATAGAGGTGCTCACACTTGCTGATGGACAATTAATCAAGTGCATTTATTAGTGACTGTTACTTAATTCCTATGGAAGCAGTCAGGGTGTACTTGGCTTTTCACTCACTGCTCCTGCAGTGAGGTTTAGTGTTGGTTCAGTAAATAATGACACAGTGGAATATGTCATGTGCTGTTGTTCATCTGTGGTTTTATTTACATCATTTTAAGACCTGACTAAGGATCACCTAGTTTTTTAACGGAAGTCCTCATACTGTATATGAAACCTTATAATTCAAAGACTATATACCACGACTCTATGCACTGCTGCAGTGGTGAATACTCATTTTAAACTAATGCATCTAAATATCAGGGTCATACAAAGCTGTTCTAGTTGAGTCCAAGAATAATGTTATTGAATTTAAAAATGAGCAAGCAGGTCCCATTTAAGTCTAATTCAGGAAATAGACCAAAGCAAGTGAGGAAAATTAAAAGGGAAAAGGTTGCAGACTGTGACACACAGTTTGACAGAAACTTTCAAACACAGAGGAAATAAACTTAATTAATACATTTAGTAGCAGAACAGTGAAGTGGATCTTTGCACTGTGCAGGTTTTCCCCTCTACCTGCTGCAGGAGATTTTGACTGCTCTCCAGTCCTTCTGTCATTGTAACATTGTTGCTGTTTTAGTTGCTGCAAATCAATATGTTGGCCCGACTAACTGTTGCCAAGGCTTCGCTTGATCAATGGTCGGCCTTTACATCACGCGCACGCGCTCTCAGCTCAGCTTCTGAAATAACACAGACGGCAGCTGTTGTTCACCAGATCAATGCTCAGCTTTCTCGAATCAGACGAACACAAAAATGTGCATTAGGTTGTGAGTGGGTAGAATTATGTTAAATTGATTTTGCAACTTGTTAACTGAACGCTGCAAAAGAAAGGTCAGCCCGAGACCAGCTACAGAATCTTAACATTTTACTTTGTGAACCCCATGCTGAAAAAAAAGAAAGAATTGAATGTGTGAAAAATGTAAAAGATAGCACAGCCGCGACGTATTATTTTTGTACAAACAAGGTGATTCTCAAAGAGCTGTTAGTTGAGACTTGATATATTGCAGCATGGTGTGTGTCCACTTAACACTGACCTGTGAATCATTCAAGCAAAAAAAAAAAAGGACCTAACTCAACAGATGAATCAGTGTTCTGCCTGCACAGAACAGACAACTGAGCAAAGAGCCAATTTTAAATTGGATCTTTAAGAACTTTGTTATTTGCAGCCTATCGCATGGCGTGCACTATGCGCTTAAAAAAAATTAAGGAAACTGGTCAAGTGAAGCACAAAAGAAGGCAGGCCTACAAACAGCTGATGAAGAGTATCTTCAAGTCTCAGGTCTTAAACAAGACCTGGGAGATGCATCTGGACCTTCAGTTGATCCACCTTCTGTTTGTCAAAGCCATCAGAAATGGCTCAGTGGAGGGGTGGCTGTCAAAAAACCATTCTTAAGGAAGGGAAATAGGGAGAAAAGGCAGAGGTATGCTAAATTACAGAAGAACTGGACTGAAAATCAACAGACCGATTCATCCAAAGTTGAAATATTTGGTTCAAATCGCCAGGTCAGGAGGGAGGTCCAACAGTGAGATCACAACCGCCTATAGCATGGAAAATAGGATGAAGACTCTGCGATGGTTTTGAGCTGCATTAGAGCCAGTGGTGTTGGGGAGTTTGTTGCTGGATTTCAATCCATCATACAATACCCTTTAGAAACTGTCGAGTTGGAAATGGCTTCACTTTCTTAGGATGACAATGATCCGAAACACGCTGTCAATGCAGTAAAAGTGGATAAAAGAACACACAATATAACACTATCGGTCATGGATTGGCCACCTCGGAGCCCAAACCTCAAAATTTGTGAAGCAGTTTGGGATGATCTTGACAGAGAACAGAACAAAAGGAAGCCAACATCCAAAGAACAGCTTTGAATCTCCTTAAAGAAGCCTGGAGAAGGACAAAGGTGGTCATACTAAATCTTGACTTTCAAGCCCATTAGATTTGTCCAGTTTGCCTTATATACAGTATTTCCACAAATGTCTACACATGCTTCAATACATCAGAGCACCTGTTTCCCATTTTCTTTGCAAAATATCAAGAAATAATAGCTGCTACTTTATAGAGTACAATGTAGCCCAGATACTCACGTGACTGGGTTTAACTCAGCAGAAGAAGAAAGTGGAGAAATAACATGGGTATGCATTTTGCCTTGTGGTACATTCATTATGTAATAAGAGGACAGCAAAAACATTGTCACCACTCTATACTGAGTTTAAATTAATTGGCATCAAAGGTGAGAAACAGCAGCTGATTCTCTTAATGAGACTTTCATAATGAATGCTTAAACCAGACCTGCACAAAGCACGCAGCACTCACATGGATCTGCATCCTTCAGAGTCTAATTAAAGAGAAGGATACAGAGCAGTTTCTTCAAATCTCTCCTTTCATATTAGCAGATACGCCGTGTGAGAGGCAGGCGCAGAAAGAGGGGAGAGAAAAAAAGAATCATCCCAAGCGCCACATAATGAACACAAACAACCTAACACGGGCATGTAATCATGTTACTGGAGCGCGGCCCCCGCTGCCATACAGTGATGAAAACTTTGTTTAGAGAAGTAATTTGTCTTGAAGCGCCGATTTTGGAGCGGGGATGTAATCGTCTTATCTCTTCTGTTTGTCTCTCTCTTCCTCGTCTTTCTGTCGCTCTGCCCCTCTCCTCCTCATGCAGCTTGTGTTCATCCTGACGTAGAAAAACAAAATGCTGCATAAATAAACACCTGCTGCGCATTGAGCTGCTAACATCAATGCCACAGACGTGCCAGTTACTCTGTTATATTGAGCACAAATTGACAGTGCGGGTGCAGTGAATTTGTGGTGGTAACATATCTGCACAATGTCACATAACACACTTTGCAACTCCTGTAACCAGCATTCACTGTCAGTTTAGGACCACAAAACATTTAGCCCTCCAACGCTCCAGAGGTTTGTGTGGTTTTTAAAATGCTTGAAACATCTGTTTTAATGCTAATTGTCATTTAATATCAGATTATTTGTTTCTGTTAAACGTTGCTTTAAAACCTTGGACCTAGGAAAACTACCCTAACTTCGCTGAAGTCACAGAAGAAACGTTTTTGGTAAACTACAGTCGGTAAGTAAGCTAGAACTGAGCGTTAACTAGGTAACGGTTTTGTCATCACTTAATATTTATGGATACACTTATATGTACATCTTATTATGTTATTATTTAACAAAACTCCCTCTTCTTCAGCCATATTTTTGATTGTTATTTCAATGCATTCTACGGTGGCCCTGAGAGGTCAAACACACTGCAACTTAAGAAAACACAAGCAGATAATAAAAGATAAAATAAATAATAAAATATGAATAGAACACAACTGGAATAGAAAAAAAAAGGCTTCACAAAAAAACAATAAAAACACCCTACAAAATACAGCAGAAGTGTTTTTGTGGAGACAATAATGTTACAGAGCAGCTGCAGAAGTGACAAGCTAACAGTAAACAGCTAATAGCAAACATGTATCTACGGTATTATATGCGTCGTGTGATTAAAACAACAAACATTATCCACATCTTTTTCTCCCTCACAACACCGATGAATCCTTCACTTTGTTTAGGTGTGTCATCATTCTAATGTTTCCATTTCTATCATTCTGCAGCTGGTCCGTCACGTTATTGCTTCCCCCAAAAACACTTCTGTTGAGTTTTGTAGGCTTTCTCAGCATTTTTCTATTTTCCTGTGTTTCCTTAAGTTGCAGTGCACTTGAACTCACGTTTCGAGCTTGTCATGGTCACTTTACACTTAAAAGAAGCAATTTGTTGCACATCTATATATGTCTCACTGAAATTATGCCCCACTTATTCTTAAAATAAAAAAATAAAAAAACATGAAATTGAAATTGAAATAATTTGACATGTTATTCATGCCATGCTGGAATGAATCACTAGAGTTCTCACTATTGTAATGCCTTCTTACAATCCAGAAAGCCTAGCTAGGACTCACACATATATTGTAATTTGCTAATAAATAACAAATGATTGTCATGTACACTGCAAAACACAATGGTTACACTGAGCAATGAAAGTCTGTGTAAGTACTCTTCACGAATTAACAGACAAAGCTTACATTAAATTAATATAAATAAATAACAGACATTAAAAAATACATTAAATAAATTAAAAAAGAATTGAATCAAAATATAAAGTGTGTTAGTTCAGCACTATTACAATGATACGACTTTGAGAATGCATTTTTATATAAAATTATATTATATTGTGTGCAAATTTGCCAATGCACAGGCCAATATTGTTCAGTAATCAGTGGGGGATTCAGTAACTTTACACTGAATGGGTTTTGCAGTGATGCTTTAAAATTTTTAAACATTCTTGCAAGTATTTCAATGCCCAGACCCCCTTCAAACTCAAGTTTCCATCTCCTTCCTTCTCCTCTCTCCCTCTGCTCCCAGCTATCTTCACCAATGAGCAGTCAGACCAGCATCAGGGAGGTGGCCTCTCCATCTCGGCCCAATCAGAGGACATTTCTGGATGATGTCATATTAACGTTCACCTCACCAATGGCCTGGCTGATGGTCATGGCCCTTATCATCACGTGGTCAGCAGTGGCTATCGTTTTGTTTGATCTGCTCGATTATAAAACTCTGGCAGGTAACGGCTGTTTACTTTTCTTCTTAAAAATACCAAACTTAATTCAACATTTTATTCTCATAATTTTATTATTTAACTGTTTATTATTATATTTTATTATTAACTGTTATCATGAAGTGTTTGTAATGTTTTATAATGCCTAATGACACTTTCCTTCCACTCATCAATCACCCATTTTCCACATTTCACACTTCCATATTTCATCCGAGCATTTTCCAACAAGACTTCAGACATTTTTGAAGCAAACTTCAAAAGTGGACATCATTTTCACCGAGTCAAACTATGGGACACACACCATCTCCTTGTTGCTTTCACCACATGTGCCTCGACATGTGTGTGTTTTGCTTTAATGCCAGTTCTGTTCAAAGTAACGCGAGGTGTGTTTCCCATCTTCTTGACGCACACTGGTTTAGCGAATGCATTTCCTCCTGTTCACATACTCAGTTAAACTTTAACATTAATTAGTCTACCTTTTTCTTAGCTTATTTATCAGGGCAGTAGCTCCTCATTTCCTCCTAAATATCACTCATACGGCCGTAGAATGGATCGAAAGGGTGCGTTCTGGTGTTAACATGCATACTAATAATGGAGTCACAGGGGTTGATTACAGCATTGAGCCGTACAAAGTAAAATGATTCATTTAATAACCTGCTTAATGTGGACATCAGTGGAATCCTGTGCAGCGGCTGTTGCCACATTACACAAACGGGGAGCAGCTTTGTTTTCTCATATATTTTTTTAATCCCTTTATCTCCATTTCATGACTTAATTGTCTCGAGTAATCACATTTTGTTAGCTTTGATCCGGCTTTAATTGCTTCATTGTCATGAGATAACAGGAAATGAATTTCCCTGAGATCACAACCACACTGCTGATTGAAGTGAATGCAACAGTGAAGATCTCTGCTTAAGCATTTTCAGTTCTGCTTAAGGCTTGCAAATCTGTAGAAAGCTGTTAATTTATATATTAGGGGAAACGTCCATTGCAGTAAATCACAATAATATAGCACGGAGACACGGCGGTGCAGAGCTGAACATTACACTGCTTTCACTTTGAATTCATTCTCAAAAAGGCAAAAACAAATTCCAGCCGCACTTTAAACTCATTTCTAAAATTCACTGTTTCCTACGTTATATCTTTAGTGTTTATTCCTGGAAAAAGAAACAAATTGTCTAACTGAGAAACTGCCATTTTCAGAGAGGATTATTTGGTGAATTTTCTTGACTCAGATCAGCAACTTCCTGCAGCAGCAGCAGCTGATTGCTTGGCAACTGGTTGTGTCAAAAATAACCTCAGCACAAGACAACAAATTCTCGTTTTACGCTTCTGTTTTAGCACATCAAAGTTTAACACGTTAAAGTGTTATTTTAAGTAATTACTGGCAAGTAGAGCTGTTTGGACACGTTTCTTTAAGCTAAGCTAAGGATGTCGCTTCTTAATTATTGGATATAAATGTCAGGATAAGACTTTAGAGTCTGACCCAGATTGTATTTTAGGGTTTGCCCTCATTTCAGATTATTAATGCTGATGTTTTAAAAATGTTTTCATGCACATATTAATGCACATTGTCATAGTGAAATAATAAAAATAAACAAAAAATTTGTAATATCAGCGTATCTCACATACATGGATGCCAGTATCTTTAGCTGGCCGGTATCAGCAGAAATTATCGACCAGCTGAATTCTTAGTTGAGCTTCACAATCTTCTCATCCAGTTCTCAGGCAGGAGTCTGTAAAAGTGTATTTCCTTAAATACTGTCCCAGTTGATTAAATACTCAGAACTCAGTTAGGGTGAATCCATTGGTATGCATGTTAACATTGTCAGTGTAAACTTGTAATTAGCATTTAATCCATAACAGGTTTGATATTTATCTTGAAATGAACACTGTTTCAGTCACACCTTTTAGTCAAAATGAATGTGTTTATTTTCCACTGATAGCATCATTGTGCCCAGTACACTTTGTGTCTGCTTCTTCTGAAACAGTGTTAGTTTCAATAACGAAACGATTGTCTTTTAATTGTGTGGAAGGGAGCTGGGTTGCAGTTTCACCCTATACATTTTTTAATATCTCATTCATCTTGGTCTTATGCTTTAGTTCATCTAGCCGGTCATGTGAACAGTCTGCTCATATTTGTCCCAGCTGGGCATTCGACACATGCGACACAAACTGTACGCAGTCCTGTGGGGTTGTCGCTGGAGGTACCGCCACATGTTTGATTTGGCAGAATTTTACACTGGATGTTCTTTGTGACAAAGCCCTGAGGGGGATTTGTGTCTCAAACCAGTGACCGTTCATTGCCAAACAAATGCGTTAACCACTACATCTCGTGATTAAATAACTTGTAGAACCATCTTTAGCTCGAATCCCTTGAGGTAAATTTTTTCTAAAAAACTTCATCAGCATCTCACATTGTTGTGGAGGAGTTTTAGTTCATGCTCCTTTTTTGCAGCATTGCAAGTCTGAGATGTAGCTCTTTGGTTTGTTGCCGTTTCTCTGAACACGATCAGACCTTTGGGGTTAATTTGCTGAAATGTCCCCTCCTGGGAAGGGTGGCAGCTGTCTTGAATGTTTTCCACTTGTGAAGCCTCTTTTGCACCGCAGAATACTGAATTTCAAATTGTTTGGAAATGGCCTTATAACCCTTTACCAACGGATGGGCAACAACTGCCTCTGTAAGATCCCTGCTGTTGTCTTTCCTCCTTGGCAATGTGTTAACACACTTGAATGCTCCAGACCGGCAAACTGTCAAAACTTCTGCTTTTATCAAAGTGAAAACACTTGCTGATGATAAATTAATGAAGTGCAATGAAGCACCTGGCTGTGGAAGAAAAATGCGAAAAAAGGCTGTAGGTAGAGTAAACGTCCCCTAAATAAATAAAAAGAATTGATTTGGTTTTCTTTATTTTTTCTTTTTATACCTACTGGTACATTCTTTTGCTCTTTTTTTAAGTTTTTTGAAGCCATAAAAGAATAATAACTAACACTCGGCAAACTTAAATAAGCCAAGTATAACTGAAAGTTAAATATCAAACTGCAACTGAGCTTCCCTTTCTTTCCGTGTACAACAGCGACATAGTGACCCTTCTATCTATTCTACTCTCCCACCGGTTGCTACTACACATCACCCTCACTATCCTACAGTGTAAGGATAGGCCTGCCTCACACATCCAACACACTCATCTCTAACTCCTCTCCTCACTTTTCCCCTTTCTTTACCCCACTCCACTCCACCCCGCCCCTCCAATTCCCCTCCATGCTCATGCTGTCAATCACCTGCCATCCCATCCAAAGACTACACCTCATACTGTGACGACCCCGTGTGTTTACCTCCTGGTAAAACCAACAGCAAAAACACTGTTTGACTGCTCCGCTTGCTTTCAGAGTGTTGACTGCAGTTGTTCAGAGTCAAATCTGGATAGATGTGATTTTTGCTCAGCATGTTTTTCTTTAGTTCGGAGGCTTTGACTTTCACCTTTAACGGGTAAATCGACACTAAATCTCAATTTTTTAAGAGGCTAATAAGCTATAATAGCTTTTTACATTCTGGATTTCCCAAATCTCACTTGCAGAACAAATGAACCTCCATCTAAAACGATGTACATTTTCACCCACATTAATGAATCCACTGATCCCAGTGGTCAGATTGGGATGATTGCCCTTACATGCCTCTTAAAATGTATTTGAAACAAGTCTTAAAGACTAAAGCACCTAAAGACTCCAGACAGTCAGTCTGTTTGGAGAACGAACGGTTATTTTACTCGCTCTTTAAGCTTAAGGCACACAGTGTCGATTTGCCCTGATGTCAAGCCTTTGTTAATTTACTTTAGATTCACTGGAATTCAGTCTTGTTCTGTTCTGTCACCAAGCGCAAAGAGTCTGCATTTATCAAGGCCCACGGATGGGTGGCAAATTAAAGGAAAGGAAGGACAGAAAGGTATTTGGCTGTCACAAGTGTCCAGAATAGACTCAGTGCTCCTTGACATCATTCCTACACTTTACTAAAACGCTGCTCCTCCAAAATCCATTTCATCATTTGGTGTTTTCATTTGGCAATTGTGGAGAGCACTGTCCCTGGCCTTGAACCTCCCAAATGTTTTGAGAAGTGCTGACTGAAGTCCACTGTTTTAATTAAAGCATTAAGTGACCCAGTGTTCGCTTTCAGTTTCTCCAATCATTTGCACAGCTTTTATTTTTCTTTATTTTCTTACCCATCAGCGTGTCCTCGTTCTTTCCTAGTGTTGTGCATAAAGACCAGCATGTGTACTGCGTGCTTGTCTGGACTTTCTGAGTGATGATTAATGTGGTGCATGATTCCATGACTGCTAACGTCATAATTCAGGATCATTTTAACGTAGAACAATAACAGAGTCCTTCAATGAGAGTTTACTTGTTTATGAAAGTTACCCATCTTTATATAAGTCAAGGAAACCTTTTGCCGAGGGGCTAGACCGGAGAACCGTAGTACACGGGGATTCTCTAGACGCTCAATGTAGGATGTACATGATAGTTTTTCCCTTTCATCCTTTCAGTTTTTGAAGCAAACATTTCCAAGGTGAAAAATGACAAAATGCTCAATTTAACATAAGGCTTTTCTTCCATCACAACGTTTCAGCAAAGAGCAGCGTGTGTAAATGAAACAGCTACATTTTGGGGATATTAAAGAAGAAATACAGTTGTAGAGTTTTTTGTTTTTTGCATTTCAGATCATCAAACAAATTTAAATATTAGACAAAGATAACACAAGTAAAGACAACATGCAGTTTGCAAATTAAAGTGTTTATAATCAAGGGAGGAAAAATCCAAACCTACACGTAGCCCTGTGTGAAAAAGTAATTGTCCATGTTGCTAAATCATGAATTAACTGTGATTAACTGCACTTATTGGAAAGCTAAATTTCATTTAAATAGAAGCTTTCTGACAAAGTGAGGCTAAAATATCTCAAAAAGCAATGCATCAAGCAACAATTTGGAAGGTTTGAGTCCCAATACAACTGCTATAAAATATTACAGCAGCGGTCAAACATGGTGGTTGTAGCGTGATGGTCTGGTGGCTTTGCTTCTTCGGTACCTGGATGATTTGCCATATTGATGGAAACATGAATTCTACTCTCAACCAAACTCCTGATGGAAATATCCGGCCACAAGTTCCTGCTCCGGAGTTCATGCACACTCAGGACAATGATCCGAAACACAGCAGCAAGTCCTCCTCTGAATGGCTCAAAAAAACAAAATGAAGGTTGTGGAGTGGCCTGGTCAAAGTCTGGGTTCAAATCTGATCGAGCTGCAGACATAAATACCTTGTCCCCAAACCTTCCAGTCTGGCTCAAATTAAACAATTCTGGAAAGAATGGTGGGCCAGATTCATCCACAGCGATGTGAAAGACTTATAGCCAGTTATTGCAAACGCTTAATTGCAGTTCTTGCTGCCAAGGGTGGCACAACTAGTTATTAGGTTTAGGGGGCAATTACTTTTGAAAAACCTTGGAAAACTTTTTCCCCCTGAAATTAAAAACTGCATTTTAGATTTACTCAGTTTATCCTTGTCTAATATTAAAATTTACTTGATTATATGAAACAAGTCTGACAAAAAAAAAAGGAAGTAAATAAATCAATAAATCAGGAACAGGACAAATCATCTTTCATAGCACTGTATGTAAAAATATGCAAACTCAGTCTCTTGTGAGCGATGAATAAAAACCCTTTGAGCATTTAAGACTTAAATGTATAAAACCATTTGGTGTCTATCTGACTTTGGTAATAGTGCTGCAGATAATGCGGGTTAGGGTAGAGTGAAAAGGTTGAGGAACTGAAATGAAGTCTTCCTCTTGGCAGCTCCATCTTCAACATCTCTTGCCCATTATATCCACCATCCCTCCTCTGCACATGTCCAAATAATCTCAGCCAAGCCTCTCTAACTTTGTCTCCAAACCACTCAACCTGAGCTGTCCCTCTGATGTATTCATTTCCAATCCTGTCCATCCTGGTACTCCCAGACATTGTGGATATAAAGGATACAAAGGATGTTGAAGATGGAGCTTCCAGGCAGGAGGAAAAAAAGAAGACCTAAGAGCAGATTGATGGACATAGCGAAGGAGGACATGCAGAGAGTTGGTGTGACAGAGGAAGACTCTAGGGACAGGGTGAGATAGAGGTAGATGATCTGCTGTGGAGGCCCCTAAAGGAAGCAGTCAAAAGAATAATAATAATAGGAAGATACTTTCACATATAGGATTTTGCTGCTCTCAGGTTCAGTAGTGATATTGTGTAAAGTTTCAAATACATCCCAAACACTTACAACTCTACTTTAGGCTACAATATTTACAACACTCTGACCAAAGTCAGTTGGCTTTGATAAATGTATAAAACCATTTGGTGTCCAAGTCTTAAAAATGAAAGGTCATAAAAGCTGAAAGGGTTTTTACTCATTGCTCACAGAGTTAAAGTGATCGCTCACTCTGTATGTTTTGACGTGAAAGAAAGAAAAAGTTTTGTTTTAGTTTTTTGCACAGGTGAGTCGGCATTATGAGAAATACCTTGACTGTTTTGATATCTGCTTTAGGAGTGGAGAGGATGATGTTGCTGATGTGAGTATCGCACCAGAGCAATCTAGAAAAACTGCACGAAAAATATGGGATAACATACGGAATTAGAAAGACAGAGACCCCCACACTCTCAGGGACATACTCTATAACAAAGGCAATTCAGAAGAAAGTAAAAAACAAAAATAACAAAAGCAGGAATGGAAAAATGCAGAGATGCGTGAGAAATGCAAAAGCAAAAGGTGTCACGTCTCAGCTGTGTGTTAGGCAGGGAAGGACCCAAAATGCAGGACTTGGCAGACAAAAGTATAAATGAAAACAGCTTTATTGCTGAACCCTTGCAAAAAAATACAAAATTAACTTATACCAGGAGCTAGTAATCCAACAAACAGAAGTATGCAGGGAAAGATTGAAGAAGGACTCAAACAGGCTGAGGACGATTACGACAAAGAGCAGAATGAGATCAAATATTGACAGGGAACAGTAACAGGTAGGAACAAGACTGAAGCGACCAATAAGACACAGAAAGCAAAACTAAACAGAAAGCACACAAAACGAGAGACTATCAAAATAAAACAGGAAATGACAGACAGACATAGAAGAGGATTACACTAAGCCAAGGGGAGGGAAAGGGGGGGAGTCAACAACAAAAGCAAGGAGGAAACTACAGGTCAGGTGTCGTACATTGGATCCACTTAATCACAGGAATTGTAATATATTTCCATAACCAGAAGACTAAATAATAAAGAATAAAGAACCAGAATACAAAGCCAAAAACTCCCCAAGAATTTCAGAATATTCCAGGTAGGAGGAAGGAAGGAAGGAAGGAATGAAGGAAGGATAGAAAGAAAAAATAAATATTCTCTTGTATCATTTCTTTTCTCTTATCCAGTTTGTTTTTGTCTCTTCGAACTTTGCGCTTTTGTTCTGAAGTTTTTTTTTTTGGGTGTTTTTTGTCAGAGCCCCTTGGGTTCCCGTTTTTAAATCTCTGTTGCACAATTTGTATTTTTCATCTATATTCTTTGTGTTTTATCATTTTGATGTGGCTGCTAAACTGCAGTAAACTAAAAACATAGCAAAAACAAAAGGCACAAGAGAGAAGAAGAGTCAGAAGATAAGCACATGAAAGTGAGAGCGTGAGAGAAAATAGATTTAAAGAGGAGCGAAGTGGAAGAGAGATGTGATTGGAAAAGAAAGGAAGA